GAACATCGTGCCCATTAGAATAATCATTTCTAGTAGAGTAGGGGAGAGAAATAGCGTGAAAATTCTAAAATACCTCTAGACCCACATATCAGGTCTCCTATCTCTATCTCTCTCTCAAAGTCATACAAGAAGGAGTGAGGGGCGCGAGAATGCGCTAGAGCATGATAGTGCCAAGCATACTGCAGCCGATGGTGTTGAGCAGGAGCAAGAGCAAAGCGTAGAGATCAACACAATAGTGTGGATGGACTTCGAGTGGATACGGAACGCGACATTAGCTACCGCGGCACGATAGTGGCAGGAGAAGGAGGTAGAGGTGGAGGCCGCTGGACTGAGCTTTAGGAGCGGCTCCGACAGGCGGAGACCAAGAGCAAGGCATGGAGTGGGCTCGCACGGAGCAACGAGGCTATCAAGGCAAGGCTTCGTGCCAGACTCGGGCATCTCTCCTCCACATTGCCCCACCCAAGCTACTCAGGGCTTCGGCTCCTTCAACCCCCTCACCGTCATCAGCACCATGGCCATCGTGGTAGACGACGCCCACTCCTGCTACATGGAGACGAAGGTGTGCGCCGCGATGTCTTCCACCTCGCCATACACCTCGAAGAGTATGGCACGGCGACACCACCATGATGCTTTTCCCATTTCATTGTTCATGTGCGAGAGAGAGATTGAGAGATGGTTGACCTGACATGTGTGCCCATGGGTATTTTATAACTTTCATATGGTTTCATATTCAGCTAGAAATAAATATTCTAATGGGCATAGTACCCATGAGCCAATTTATATATTTACTGAATGTCTTTCCCCTAAAACTCACTTTGTACGGTGTCCTATAGATAAAACCATGAAGTCACAATTTCATCTAGCAAAATTTGCCTATATTCTAATAAGAGATATATATGTGTTGTAAACTACTTTTGTCATATATTTAAATTAATTTTAAATTTGATTAGATTAATTTTTAGATATTTATAAATTCAATAAAGCATAAAGTAATTTACATAAATCATAAAAGTAGGTTAATACAAAATGAAAGTAAGTTATCATTGTAATAAAACTAATTCCGCTACGAGGGTAAAAATATGAGTCTATCGAGAAATTTAATTTAGTCAGCACAAATTATAGAACTAACTTAAAAATAACAATAAATGTAAATAACTCACACCATTATGAATATCTAAGAAGTAATTTAATTAAATCTAAAAATAATGTACATATACGATAAAATTAATACTACATACATAATAAAGTAATTTACAACATATATTTTTTTAATTAGAATATAAGCATGTAAATTCTTATTATAAATGTTTAATTAGAACTAATATAATAGTATAATCGGATAAATAATTTAAAAGAAGATTTTATTTGAAACTTATCTATTAGGAGCTGTTGCATTCTTGCATACTCCCACGTGGGAGAGAGATGATGCATGCATATCATTTATTTTCAGATATATAAGAATGGTAGCAGGTTAAACTAATTGGTGTACATGTACTGTTTAGTCGCAATATTGTCCATCTTTTTTTTAAGTGAATTCCCTGTGCACCCATGAAAACTTACTCAATCCCTTTCATACCCTTGAAATTTATCCGATCCCTTCTATACCCCTAAAATTTCAACTTGATCCCTTCCGTGTCCCTACTATTACATTTTCCTTCATTTCAGTATTACGTTTGGTTGCAAATATCATTTTTTCCCTTGATACTTTAGATTTGAATATAAACTTGAAAAATGATTGAAAATTTTGTTTGAATGCACAGTATGTGCATTTTATGAAACTAATGAGACTAAATAATTAGTGCAGGAAATTTTTACATAAATTTTGAAAATAAAACAAATGTAATAGATTAAAATATTTATTTGAAATTTTAATAGGACAATTGATTTTTTTTTATCGGGAGCATTCATAAAAAAAATATTGTGAGCATTGGTGGTCCTATCTTTGTATGAATGCTCCTCATTTTTATGATTTTTAAAAATAAATACATATTTTTTTATTTTATTATCTAAAACTAAATTTTGTGATAAATAATGTATCGCACAAAAAAACTCATAACTACAATAGTCTCATGCGACAAACTTTTACATTTTTAATAATGTAATTCATAAATTTCTATGTTCATCCAAAGGGTAAAATGGTTATTTTTATAGAAATTAGATGGCCAACTAACGGTTAGCTGACGGGAGGGGTATGGAAGGAATCAAAATCAAATTTTGGGGGTATACAAGAAAGTAAGCAAAATTCAGGGGTATAGAAGGGATTAGGTAAAATTTCAGAGGTATACGAGAGATTTTCTCTTTTTTGTTTGGATTGCTAAGTAGCATTCAATGGAAATTTGGGGAATGAATCTTATAGATTTTGGGTGATTCGTGCTTAGCATCCTTCTTCCTTAGCTCTGACAAGTCGCAGCGATTCCATGCAGCGAGATGGTGGTGACCTAACCAGATAGGGTTTGGGGGTTTGGGTCAGGGTGAGAGTGGGGGTGGGAGGAGAGCTAAGTGGCGGCGCTGGAGCGGTAGGGTTGGCAATGGGTGGTGGGCAGGTCCGACAGTAGGGGGCAAAGTTGAGTGGGGTGGTTAAGAGGCGAAGGATGGCGCCGATGGACCGAGAACCGCTAGAGACTAAGGAGGAGGGTAGGTCGGGGGAATCTTGGCCTACTAGATAGTTTGCACTGGACGGTGGTGGCAGATCGGGTGGTAAAAGCCACCGGAAAAATGGAGGAGAAGGCGTAGCTAGCTACATTTGCAAGAGCTTTCTTTCGTGATCTAGCTATGTTTGCTTCCTCTTTTCCTCTCTATTTTGGATGTCAACCCAATGTCTGATTCAAGTCCATAAGTTCCTCTTTTTATATTTGTCTTTACCCAATACTCACTTCGTGCGGTGTCCTACAGCTAAAACAGTAAGTCGTTATGTCCTATAGCAAAATTTGCCTTTTAAAAATAGAACCAAAGAGCTTTAAACATGTTGGAACACATTAAGATAGATTAAAATTAGAAAAAATGGGGCCCCTAATTTTTTTTGGGTCCTATTCGGTCACTCAGCCAGCACGAGCTTGTCGATGGTTCTGCATTGAACCATATACTCTAGTGGTGGTAAAATTAATCAGAAAACCAAAATCCAATATTTTAACTATATATTAAACCGAAATCATGGAACCAAAATATTCTGCTAGTGTCAGGTGGTGGGAGAGGGCAGAGGAGATAGGAGGCAGGGTCCAAGAGAGGGGAGAGTGGAGGGGTAGAGGAGAGATTTATGGTCTGTTTGGGAAGCTTAAGATTCTGAGAAACAATTGGTTGGTAGCCAACTTTTGAAAATCTGGAAAAACTGGGTTTCCTAGCTTCTGGTTTCTAGTTCATTTTTTGGATTCTACAACTACAGCTACTCAGAATCTGGACCAAAAGCTGAGCTGTTTGGGGGAGCTTTTGATTTTGGGAGAAGCTGCAGCAGCTAGAAGCTCCCCCAAACATGGCCTAGTTTCTAGGTTCTGGGTGTTTAGTGTAACACTTTGGACTTTCACATAAATTGAAAAACTATGAGGGCTAAAATAGAAAGTATCAAAGAAGATTGAAACCACCTTTAAAGGCTTAAAGCTATACTAATATACAGTGGAAAATATGGTGTCAAAAAAAATATAGTGGAAAATACCTATTTGAGTGCTATGTCCTTGGCCTATGTTGCATTATGTGGTCTAGTCCCATAAGAATCATTAGAAGCTTCTTTTGTCCCCAAGGAAGGAAAAAAAAACAGAGTGAAAAGAAATGAAAGGACTCTGTCCGTGACAGAGAGCAGTAAGGAGTCACAACAAGAGAGAAGCCTCTCTTTGGGAGGAACTTATGGCAGGAAGCAAGGAGCAAAGAATGGGCAACACGTATTTAGCATGGGGAGGGTACTTGCTGATCATGCAATCCAACTGCTCCTTTTTCTTCGACCAGCGGTGCCGCTGCTGCGTACGAGACACCGGAAGGCAGCAGAGGCCACCTTTTGCATGGTTCGCCACTATAATCTCACGACGGATTTATGACCACCTGCTACTGCTTGAATTTGACATTTTGTTATTGTAAAATATGAGATTGGTGTATCACATTTCACTAAGATATGTTTCCCATAATGCCATCCTTTTTTTCTTTTTTGGGGTACCCATCCAAAGCTGATGCTACACAGATAAGCAAGCTCGTTTTCTCAATTTGTTTCAGAGAGAATTAAGAGTATATGCTCCTAAGGAGCTCCTATAGCCAAGTGTAACTTCCAGCCTGTGCACCGACTAAGATGCAGATAACCATATTTCTGGACACTGGAGATTGTTAGCATGACTTTCATTCTACAACATTTTTTAAAAACCGCCACTAAATAAAATGGACCTGATTCTATTGCAATTGGTAGTGTAACTGTAACTTAAGTTAAATTATGGCCAAATACATCATATCGTTTAAATGGGGATCAAATTGAGGTAGGGTACGCATGTATGTATTCATAAGGTGACTGTTCGTGCTTGCATATAAGCGTGCGTATAGTGTGTTTCGCCCAAAAAAAAATCATTATCAAAAACAAAACTACAACTAAAGCAGCGGAGGGCACTTTGATCTCATTTCCCCAAATTTTATTCGTGCATTCGCAATATCCCCAAAAGTACACGAACTAGCTAGGCACAACACCTGAATGCTCTAGCAGGGCATCTAGTCACAGACTCGGTTGCTGGATGATTCGATCAGGTGCCAGCCAATCTGAGCCTTGGTCTCCAACAAGGCAGCAACACATTGATCACAACCTAACACACGGATGTTCTCCGTGCTCCTGCAGTCTCCCGTTTTTGGGACAAGTACTAGTCAGTCACAGCGTGTACCTACTGCCAACTGCCAGCTTGAAACAAGACCGTTATCAAAACATCACAGAAATCGATCGCTATAATCTTTGCCTCTTGCATGCTTGGAAGAACATATCACTACAATAACATTCTAACAAGATAATCAGGCAGTTAATGTCTTAACAGAGATACTAGATATATATGCCGATAAAAACTTTGATATGATCAGCTCAGACCGAGTCATTTGTAATTAAAAAAAAACGAAGTTAAAAGCCTCACTGGGGGCATCGAAGATTTGCACTTTGCTCAGTCACGATCGATACAACCTAATTAACCCCAGGTACATGAAAAAAAAAAAGAAGGCCAAGAAAAATGTTCGCAAAAAGGAAAAAAAAAAGAGCTCTTCTTGAGCGGTTCTTGGGATCACAGAATGTTTCAGACGCAGCGTTGATCATCGAAATTCATGTCAGCAGATGCCGCCGGAGATGTTGTCCCACTGGCAGGCGGCGCCGTCGAGGCTCCAGTCGTCCTGCTCCGACGAGCCGCCTCCGCCGCCGGTGAGGATGGGCAGGTCGAGGACGTCGGCGCCGTTGGAGTGGTCCTGGTCGTCGCTGCTGTGCTGCGAGACGGAGCTGGAGTGGTTGGGCGCGGCGGAGGCGGCCGTCGCGGCGGCGGCGGGCTCCGGCGCCGCCGCCGGGAACGTCGCCGGTATGATAAGGTCGAAGAGTGTCTCGATGTCGTCCTTGAGCTCTACCTCCGGTTTGCCGTCACCTGGAAATTGAAGTGAAATTAGTACAGAATGCAACCCCACGATGCAAAAATCTTCAGACTTGATGGGCATCAATTTGTCAAAAATTTGCTCATGAAGGAACTGAAATTATTTCAAGAAAGTTTTTTTGTTTTGCACGATTTCGATTCTTGGTACCAACTCAACTAGTTGATTCATTAACTTACGCAGAATTAATTTTTGATCGATTCTGCTCAGCACTAGTTGGATAGGTGCCTATAGATAATCTCCCAAAAAGTACTCTTATCCTAGATATGATCCTATTTATATTTGCTTGATTATGATAATCAATTAACCTATGAATCATATGACACCAATGTGACGTACTGTTATTGGAGGTGATGAGCAAGGCAATCATGGAAGAACAAAAAGGAAGCATGAATTGGCTGCAGATTAGATTAGGTAGTAGTATAGGAAAGCGGCAGATGCAGAGTGAGAAAGAGAGAAAAAAAAAGTCGAAAGGGAAATAAAGGCATTAAAGTACTACTTGGTAAGATAAGGAAAAGTAATCATGGAACAAGATCAAAGGCAGTCACTGTAGGCTGTCACTGTCTTGCAAGGACAAAAAGAAATCCTCTGAAGCCTCTGTACATCAGTACATGCAGATGCAGTGCTAATTACCTTAAAACTATCAAAAAGAAAAGCAAAAGAAGGTTCCAAGCAGAGCTGTCCTGTTTCTGATTTTGCTAACTCCTAAAACTAATATGTACTATTGTTTTTGCTGGTAAGAAATATATTTTTTTCCCATTCTTGGTTTCTCACTAAGCAGGTTAACTCTAGAGTGATCTGTGAGTCGAGGTAAATGAAATTGGTGTTGTTTAATTTGCTTTTCAGGAAGTAGGTAGAATTCAGCAAGAAAACAAATGGAGATTTTGGAAGCACAAACAAAAAGGTTCATCCTCTGATCTATGTATGTGTTCACATCATAATCATGCCAATTTGTTCTCTTCTACAATAAAGCAACACACTTAAAAAGAGAGAGAGAGAGAGAGAGAGAGAGAGAGAGAGAGAGAGAGAGAGAGAACTTGAGATGCATCCAATGAGTGGAAAATGTGAGGAAAATGCTTCACGCGCGACATGCACTACTCACCACTTACGCCGCGCAGATTGCCGCCGCCGCCGCCGCCTTCTTCTTCCGTTCCTCTGTTTTCCGGCGGCGCCGGCGGTTCGATCTTGATGGCGTCGTGCAGCTCCTGCAGCATGGCCTCGAGGCTCGCCGCGTTTGGGTGATCCTGCAGCGCTCCGCCGACCAAGCCGCCGGTGGCGGCGGCGGCGGCTGTGGTAGGCGCCATCGACGGGCGCAATTGGCTTGAAGGGAGCTCGGCTCTGGCACCCGGGGACGGCGAGACAGGCGGGAGTCTGGCCCGGTCGCCGGCGTGAAGGCCGTAGCCCAACGAGAGCTCCGGCGTGACCGGGTGCACCTGCACCGGCCCGGTCGGCGTCGTCGGCGACACGGGCGACGAGTGCGGGAACTGGAAGAACTGCGCGTTCCGAGCGAACGGCTTACCCCACGGGGACGAAGGCGCGGAGAACGGCGTCGCGGCGAGGAGCTGAACCGGCCGGCTCCCCATGGCAAGCTGGCCGGCGAGGTCGAGCGGCGGCGGGCGCGCGCTGGTGTACCCGGACGAGGCGGCGCCGGCGGCATCGGCTGCGTCCATAGAGAGGACATTGCTCCCCGCGGATTGCTGCGGCGACGACAGCGGCGAGGAGAAGTCGTCGTAGCGGCAGCGCTTGGCGAAGGCGAGGTGGAGCTGCACATCCGGCGGGTACACCGGCAGGCCGGCGCGCTGGCGCCGCTTGGTCCTCGTGTTCCAGTAGTTCTTGATCTCGTTGTCCGTCCTCCCCGGCAGCTGGGGACAAAACAAAGAACACAACGCATCACATCACATCAACAACTTTGAGATGGAAAACAACAGACAGCTCGATCGATCGATCAACCGGAGATTTGGGGCTTTACTTACATGGGAGGCCATGCGCGCCCACTTGTTGCCGAGCTGGGCGTGGAGCTGCGCGATGAGGAGCTCCTCGTCGGGGGAGAAGGAACCCTTCTTGAGGTTGGGGCGGAGGTGGTTGGTCCACCGGAGGCGGCAGCTCTTGCCGCAGCGGAGCAGCCCGGTCATCCGCTGCACCGCGTTCCAGTTCCCCTCGCCGTGCTGCCGGACGTGCTGCACCAGCACGGCGTCCTCCGCCGTGGTCCACGGCCCCTTCTTCAGCACCACCGGCGCCTCCTCCTCCTCCTCCTCCTCTTCCTGCTCCTCTCTCCCGGCCGTCGCCTCCTCATGCCTCCTTTCTCCAGTAGCAGCAGTAGCCACCACCTCCTTCTCCTCCTCCGACGACGCCGGTGCCGGTGCCGGCTTGATCATCTCTTCCATAGGTGGCACCGGAGAAAGAATCGGTGGTGGTGGCGGCGGCGGAGACGGCGGGGGTGGTGTGGGTAGAGAAGGAGAGGTGCAATGCAAGGGGGGGGGGGGGGGGAGATTTTAAGGGAGAAGTTGCTAAAATTGGAGGGGGGAGGGAAGCTGGCTGCTGGCGTTTTTTGGTTTTGTGAGGGTTGCAAGTGGTTTTTGCAGGTGAAAGGCAGTGAGGGGCTGTGGTGGTGGGGGTTAAGGCCAAGGGCAGTACATGGCTGTCTCTTTTGTCTGGGTTGTTCTCCCTTTTTGCTCTCCAAAGGGCTATATATGGACTGGAGGCATCTGATGCTAGGAGTTCTTGTACTTTTGGTGCTATGCTTGCATCTGGTGTATGTGGGGGACTACTGGGAGATATATATGGTAGAGTAGACCGAGAAAAGAGGGGCTGAAATATGGACAAAATGCTGTGGTGTGTGGTGTGGGGATGGAGAGCCTAGGAGAATGATTAGGAGATACGAGAAGAGTGCATGGAAGTGTCACACCAGTAAGCACGGAGAGGAAGTGTGGTGGCAGCGAGAAAGGGGAGGAGTCTATAGAGACAAAGAGAGTGCAATGGATCGGAAAAAAAATTGGTGCAGTCCGGGTGCAAACCACATTGCCTGCAGCCCCACTTCGGATGTCCGACGCGTGGATAATATACCAATCCAACAGCTTGCCTTGTTTGGCACTATCCAACAAGGCTGCACATGGCATGCCTTGGCCCGGCTCCCAAAAGGGGATTGTGCAGATGTGGAACGGGACGACTCGCCTTCAGGCATGACCAAATCGCTAGCGACTACATCGCTGGTGACTACAACCACCATGAAAAGAGAAACCTTTGTGGACAACGCAGCAGAAGAAGCACCCGGCGTCACAAGGAAGATGGACATAGCAGAAAACGAGGATCTGTGGTAGAAAAAAACAAAGATCCATCTGCGACGCCAGTGGCACCACCATCGTAGGAGTGCGACCACCTTGGTCATGGGAGAACATGCTGAAGTGGCCACTGCCCATGTCCCAAACGGCGTACTTCTTGGTGCGCGCTGTGGTGTCGGCACCCGTATTGTGATTGCCACCACTAGCAGTGCGTCCCCTTTGAGCCCTTCTTTCCTGCTTGTACTAGTTATACACCATCATGTTCTCAATGTCACTAAGTACTGATGATCCATGGATCAAGATCATTCCCATCGCATGATATGATCAAAATAAACCGTGACAAGAAATTGGAGAACGTTGTAGGCTCCGGTGGTGTACATGAACATGGCCTAGGCTTCCTTCTTGCGGGTGGGATTCTTGTTCGAGTTGACACCACAAGGGGAGGCCATGCCGCTGCAGTAGGTCCAATGGAAGATGAGGAAGGCATAGGAGAACACGTGAGGAAGGGGATTGTGGAGAGAGTCGATGGGCCTGGGAGCCGAGCCAAGGAACCGCGCATCCTCGTCCCACCGCTTGGTACCGAGCAGATAAAGTCGTTGGATCGTTATAATGTCCATGTGTCAACCATCTGTGGTAGGGTTGCAAAGGTAATGCTTTGCATCCATGCTACACCAATTTTTTTCCCCAATAGATGGTCGGTGTCGGAGCATGAGCCCTTCTAGCGGGAAGGCACGATACGCTCCCTTTGAGATTCAGCAATGGTGCAGGTGTTGAGCTCAGGTGTAGTGGAATAGCATTTTAGATAGGTTTAAGCTACTTGGGAGTGTAATACTCTACTCTTGTGTTCTTGCTTAGATCACTTGGTTTAAGGGTGTTCTTCAAGGTCTTTTTCCCAGTGGCTAACAGAGGTGGTCTCCTCTTGTCCTAGGTCCCGAACCCATCTTTTTGGTGGCATTAGTCCTTATTTTATAATAGTAAGGGGATACCCCAATGCCTGGACAAACAAGCACGACCCAATGTATAGGAGTTGACGTTGATAACCAAATTTGAAAAATATCGGAGCTTTCCGGTGAAGGTTTGTCTGACCGCTTAATGTGGTCGGTCAGACCGTATGTCTGAGCGGTCAGATCTTCAGCACAAGGTTCGAGTCTAATTTAGATATTTCTCGTGTTTCCTTTTTTAGACTAGGATTTATCGAGACCTAGTTGATTTTTAAGCCTAATTAGACATGTGAAAGACCTTAAGAAGAGTCCACCCCTCCTATAAATATAAGGGGGCTAAGATCGACTGAAGAAACAACCAATCATCGTCAAATTCAATTTAGTATCCAAACCCTCTATATTCTACATCTCCCTCCTTGCTACCTATCCCAAGTCTATTCTCCTCAAGTCCCCAATTGCTCGTCATCTCTCGTATCTATGGTGTTAGAGGACGTCCTAGCTGGCCTGCCAAGCCTAGGACAAACCGATGTATGTTCACCCTAACGGGGTCCCTCCCAGTTGTTCGTTCAGTGGCATCTATCACTCCCTACAGTGGCGTGTCTCTGAGTGCCACCGTGGGCTGCATATAACGTGCTCAAGGTTTGCGGCGTGATTCTACATCAGCAACTGGTAATCTTGATCTTGCATTGGCCCATCTTGAGGGGCCCCGTTGATGCGAACACCTTCTCCTCCTTCTGACGCATGGTGTAGGATGATCAAGGTAGGTGTCCTGGACATCGTTGGGCCCATTTGTTAGCCTTTGAGGCTGGCTAGGGGGTCATTAACCGGCGGGCGAGACATGTAGCATAGTACGAAGCCACACTGTCACCACTTATCCAGGGGTGGCATTGGCAAGTGGAGGGAGGTACGCCCTATCGTCCACGACGGCCCACAATTCTCCACAGCAGCCACACCATTTGTCATTAATGCAGAATGACACAGTAAGGGAGCGTGTATGGTCAGGTCATACCTCCTTAATTGTTGTGGCGTAGCTGATATAGGCCTCTAGCCCCGAGGATGACCTCGGGGTCCTAGCCCATTAACTACCGGTCAAAGAACGTCGGAGCTGACACTATCTTTAGGGCATCCTTCCTACCTCAGGGCTACCTCCAGGCTAACACACACGGGCGTCATACCTTTGGAGTTCGGGGTAGTCATGTGGCACTCCATGGAGGGCACATAGTAGCCATGATGGGTCCTAATGTGCCCCGAGTATTCTTCGACAGTAGCCCCCTGGCCTCGTCACCGAGCCGAGGTCTGCCATGGGGCTTCCTTCGGAAGCAAGGGAACACAGCATGGTGTGGGCCACCTGCGGCCCCCAGGTGACGTGACAGGGCTCTGCTTTAATTTCTCCCTCCTTCAAACCGCTTATGGCTTCCAGAAGGTTTGCCATGATTAGACGTGGTCTTTGATTATTGGGTGGTTTGTGAAAAACATGTCGATTCAGTACTTGATGCAAAACGACGCGTCATGCTTTGGCACTTCACTAAGCCTACCTAGGGCACATGCGTTGTTCTACCATGGACATTGGCTCAATCAGCCACCGCATCATGGAGCTGACCGCCATAAGAACGGCTTGTCGGGCTGCCTGCTCATGTACATGAGGTGGCGTCCTCAAGGTGGTCGAGTATATCCTGGCATCGTAGCACGCCCGCGACATGAACCTTTTTCTTGGAAGTTGTGCAGGATGAGGTCCCCGAGTGAAGCCATTGTGCGCGTAGCTGTTGTGGAGGCAACCGTTAAAGTTGCCTCCTTCGAGCGGGGGAGTAGGTGTCGGAGCTGGAGACCAAAGAGGAAGATTGTTGTCTTGTCGTTTCTTTCTTTTGTTTTAGACCAATGTAATTTGGATCACATCCCCTAGGGAACTCTTGGAAGTATGTAAATCTTCTTCCCATACTAGGACCTCATCCGCCTCTATACGTATCTTTTTTGTTTATTATTATACTAATCGATGCATTAAGCCTTACCCATTAGATAGGTGGTTGTACGGAATGCGCTTTGCAGCAGAGGCTTGAAGGTCGGTGTTGTTGACGGTCATTATAAACCAATTTTGACCATCAATTTTCTAAAATAAAGGAGAACTAGCTATGCTTGCAATGCATATTTTGTTTTAGAATAATCTATTTCCACTTGTACTTGGACTTTATTTGAGTGTAGGAATTGAGCAAATAAAATAAAGAGAAAATGAGAAAACCTCACTCCTAAGCAAGCCTATGGATAAGATGGGCCCACTTTGTCGTGTGTAACCGTCCCGGAAACCGTCATAACTGTCACAACCGCCATAGGGACCCACCTGTCAACCACATAGGGAAGTTTGGAGGCCTGCTGCGAACCCTGGTGACGCTGGCTCTGGCTGGCCTTACACCTGGACGCTCTTGATCGCTCCCCAATGATGGTTGCAGGCATATTGGTCATTTCGCATAGGCTACAACCGTCATAACAACCCTATAAAAGGAGGAGCTCATTCACTCTCTCAACACACTCAAGCAAGCTCAAATATCTCTTCTACACTTTAGTTTAGTATTCTAGTGCTAAGTGGAGTAGAATAGAATAGCATCTCGGAGTTCTCGGAGTCTTCGGAGGAATTTCGGTAAGGTTGTAATAGCATTCTTCCTTTCTTTTGTAAGACTTTTGGAATTAATGAAATATTCTTCTTCATATGCTCTCGATACTTTAGTTTATCTAAGTATTGTCTTTACTTTATGTCTGTATCGGTACAGTCGTATAGTTAGCCTACCAGAGAGGTGCAGTTGTGTGGGTTTAATGTCTGATTATTCAGTTGCTCTATGTCATCTTGAGGGATATAGTGTAGTATTTATAATGTACACATGGTGTCTAGATTATTAGGTATCATTATCTGTGTTTATATGCTACGAGTCAGTCGAGGTGGGCCGCTGATGGTGACAGCTCAGTACGATCCTAAAAAACTTTCCTGGGGAGGGTATTCCTCCGTATTTAGCCCCCGGATGGACGGCCATGACAGGTTGTCGTAAGAAACTCGGCAATCCGGGGTGGTCTCTCGAAGCACCAGGAGTGCACTATTAGGGGTATTGGCTATATGGTTGTATACTAACAGATGTAGACTAAAATTGAGTGTATATTAGAATTATAGGAAATGATTGTTTTTCTATTTCTTCTTATGCTTAGTTTAGAAATGATTAAATGAGATATATGAGTGCTTTGCTTCGTGTCACTCTACCCAAATAAATATCTTAACCCCTACTTAGACTTTGATTATGTAAGTGGCATGTATATATATATATATATATATATATATATATATATATATATATATATATATATATATATATATATATATATATATATATATTATTAGAATAGTTCTATCTTACACTCTTCCTTTGGGATTAAATAAATACGATACCTTTATAATACTTTCGGGCGAAATGCTACAATGGTATATCCGTGCGCTTGTGGATCCTTTCTGTAAACCATATATATACCAGGACCATTTCTAGCG